TTAACCCCCCCCCCCCCCCCCTTTGCAGTGAAAGACTAGCTTCCCCATCTGATCGGACATTTATACTTTTCTCCACAAGTACTTAATTACCAATATACTGTCCTTTTTATTCACTTAATTATTTCATAAGAAACATTTCAATGGAGTTCCAAAAATTTTTCCGTGTTCGTATACGCACGTACGAAAAAGGCTTAACTGGAAAACAGCCGGCTTTATATGCCCTGCTCAAACAAGATAGACGAGAGTTGAGAAGCGAGGGTTTGTATGAGAGTTCGCTCAGCTCTCGTGCTCTCATCAAAAGAGAACAAGAGTTGCCTGAGAGTCGACTGGATATAGTACCTGCCGAACGAACAAAAATCGTCAACTCTCATGAAATTTGAATCATGATGAGTGTGTGATAGTCGGTAAAAGTTAGCGGTAAAGTTAAACTCTTATGAACTCTTGTCAACTCTTGTCATGCTCGTTTGATCGGGGCTTTTTAGCTGTGCGCGAACTTGTCCGGATTCGTGCGTCCCATCTGAATGCAAAAGGGAAAATCGTAAAAGATTCAATCGTCGATGAATGACGTCGCTCGCGTTTGACTCATCGACTCTCATTAACTTTACTTTGAACTGTATTGCTCAAATATTGATGAGAGTTTTTGCTACGTAATAATATCCAGTCAACTCTAATCAACTCTCATGCAACTCTTGTTCTCGTTTTACCGGGACATGAGAGTTTAGAAAACTCCCATGCAAACTCTCGCTTCTCAACTCTCATCAACTCTCATGCAACTCTTGTTCTCGTTTGACCGGGACATGAGAGTTTAGAAAACTCACATGCAAATTCTTGCTTCTCAACTCTCATCAACTCTCATGCAACTCTTGTTCTCGTTTGATCAATGATCAAGCAATGAAAGTTGAGAAAACTCTCATGCAAACTCTCGCTTCTCAACTCTCATCAACTCTCTGCATGTATAACTCTTGTTTTCGTTTGACCGGGGTATGAGAGTTGAGAAAAACTAAGTAACTAAGTAACCTAAGCCAACTTAACCTAATCCAGCTCAGCTTATCCTGTAATTCTAAACCCAAATGAAAATATGAGCAGAAATGAAAATTTCACAATAATTTGATTGTCCTATATGGAGTCACGCGAACTATATCGGAAGACATGAAAAATCAACTGTTTTATATTCGCCTATAGTGCATATTCAGACAAGTCGGCGATACACAAAAGTCTACCAAAACTCAGAGACAAATATTTGCTAATATAGATCCACGAAAATGGCAATGCCAATGGCGATAAATATTATAGAGTAGACAAAATATAGACACAGGATAATGATCAGAAAATGTATCTTTCGAATCGATCGAGGGAGGAAATTAATATAGATTCCAGTAAAAACACTGTGTGCATTTACATGTAATAAACCAGGATTTTATATATACACTGCCTATGTATGCATCGACAGTTGTTCGCGCGCCACCAGCGGAACTAAAATTTGCAAGATTTCGCCTTGCCTTAATCATACAAGGCTGAAATTTAACGAACTCGGGAAGGTCATAGAACTCGGGAAGGTCATAGAATCGTGCGAATTTCCGTGTACTCAAATAATGCAACGAGTTTGTGTGCGGTTTTGAATTCCTCTCGTTTAAACGTAGACATAAGCAAGACATAAACAATAAAAATTTCGACAATCGTTTGTACGAGTTGTGTTAAACGAAGCGAAACAATTATCCTATATTATGTTCACTTCAAGTGAAGAAACTTACCATTGTAAAACAAGCTTCCCTTCCACAGGCAGGAAATTACATTTCTGGAAAATGTACACGACCGTTTGCAGGTATAAAATGGCAATTATTTGAGATTAAGAGATTCCTTTTATTCGCTTCGAAGCTTAACGTGTCGATTTTGACTTCAACTAAAAGCAAACACAAGTGAAATTAGCATACGAAGTGCTTTGGAGTAAAATGTATTACTTTGCCAAAAATGCCATGACAACATGCGAACATACAACAATTATTATTTTAACAATCTTATTTCTGCATGCAAATGAGCTATAGAATCAATTTCACAGTCAGCATATATTAATAAAGCATTGAATATGAATGTACATTAACAAAGCATTGAATACGAATGTATGTACGTTCAAATCAATAATATAGCCCCGTAGCTCATAGGCAAACTTACAAACGTTCATCACTCCATCAGAAATCAAACGAACCAACTTTCACTGCCTCAAATGCGAAATTTTTACCTCAAAAATCAATTCAGAAAATGCTAATACAATAAATTATTCAGTTTTAATCTACACTGCTGAAAATGACATGTATAATATGCGAGCAGCTGTTCAAAGCGACACTTCAAAAGTTAAAAAATACTATAGTAGAAAATTACGGGTTTTTGAACGAAATGAGGGCAACAAAAGATTATAAAAAGTGTAAATTTTGTATGTCACGTTTCGAAAATTTTTTTTTTTGCAAAATAGATCTTTTTGGCCGTTGTGCATTTTACAGGTAGCAATTAAAATCGATTTTTAAGACGCCTCAAGGTCGCTCTATACTAGACAGACGGCTTATTTTATTACGTCGTATATTGCCGAAACTGAATATGGAATTAACTTGGCACCAGTCTTTTCCACGTAGAACGATATTCAGTCTTTGCCAGTGTGCTGAGCAAGAACGTCACTCACTCGACCACTGACGTCCAATAGCTCTTCAACCTGCGTCATTTTGGGCCTTGGCTTCAATTTTTTGCACTCGAGTTCTCTCGGAGGCAATTTGCATTATAGGCAATATAGCGAACATGTGAGGAACTGAAAAATTTTAAAAATCTCATGTTTTTGTCGTATGTATTGAAGATTACCACAAACTGACAGAAAGACAGTTTCTAATCAAGTCCCCTCTCGGCAATCTGCGATTATACGGCGCAGCGCTCTAGAGCAGTAACGCAAACTAATGGGACCTATTCCCTAAGGAACAAAATATTGATCTAGCTAGACAAGTCTAGACAAACATTTCACTACAGCTTGAAAGAGCATCACAAAATTAGTAATATTCCGAAGTTTCGTTGCGAAATGTTGTAAAATGCGGATAATATAGCACTGCGAAGTTTGCCGTTTTTCAGTCATTTTGTATTACGCGCGGGAAATTGATACCGCTTTCTGAAAAAAGGTATCAATTTCCCGTGCGTAAAACAAAATGACTGAAAAACGGCAAACTTCGCAGGGCTATATTATCCGCATACTCCCATTTTACAACATTTCGCAACGAAACTTCGGAATATTACTAATTTTGTGATGCTCTTTCAAGTCGTGATAAAATTTTTGTCTAGACTTGTCCAGATCAAAATTTTATTCATTAGGTAATAGGACCATTCATTCACTTACCCAACTGACGAGTGGCGTAGTAAGCCATTTGGAGCTTCGACAACAGAAATTCAATATACGTGCAACATCATATTGAACATGAAAAGTTAGGAACGAACACTTGGTGACAATTTACATTATTATTCTAATTACTTCATTCATTACATTTGAACAATTAATTTAAAAGCTATATATGAGCTTCATTAACCCTAGAATTATCTGTAAAATTATACAATACAGTGTATCTAATAATATAGATTAAGGGGTCCAATATTATATAGGCCTGCGCCAATTACAAAGGATTCAAAGAGCAGACATGTTGGATGAAATTTGAATTGCGAAGAAGGAAATTCCTTCGTCAAATTTATCCAACATGGCTGCAATGTAACTTGGAAAGCAAAAAGACCAGCCAAGCTACATACTCGTCAAAGTTGTGTGTACTTATTTGTATTAATGTGTGTACTTATTTGACATTCGTAAATATAATCGACATATTTTGTCCCCTCTTTTTCCTTCCAAAATATTTTTCTCAGGTCTACCCAAGAGTGTTTGACCGTAAATTTACCAGAGACGTCCGATAATAGTATACGTAGAAGGTATACTAAAGGGCCACATCATTCTCAGCTGACCATAATTCAGCCCAGTTTCGAATCTATGTAATCTGCAATTTTAAATTTCTAGTTCAGTTTCTATTCACAATGTGAACCATTGGAAAGTATTGGTGTGTATATACAAAAAACCTTTGGGCTTTCTCTCGTCAAAAAGGAAAAAAATACCACACTTTGGAGAGGAAAGCGGTTTACTATTTCGTCGTCTGCCATATAATTATCCCCACCACGCCACCCACGACGAGTAGAATGACTAGGAGGCAACACATTTTCTTCCGTGAAGCTTTCTTCAAAAGAAAACAAAGGGAGTATTTTACATGATGTCTCAAGTCGCTTTACCAGCAGACAATGCTGGAGAATATCCCACAGCGCCAGCAGCACCGCTGTCAAGAAATTTTTGACAAAATATCTTCGCGGAAATTTTCTCACACCTTGCAGGAAATGTTTACCATCTTATATACTGGAATGCCATATACTTATTGTTTACAAAAGCATTTCGCAAGTCGAGATTGTCTTGTGACGAGATTTTTCCGAAAACTAGCTGCCATGAAGTTTTACATCGCACATGTACTTTCTTTGGAGACACCATTTGCCTCCTGACAAATCGGTAAATAATCCAGATAGTGATTTGCATATTGTATTGACAAATGTCTTCAATATTTGAGTGAGTCATGTTTTGGAAATGACAATAAATTTTTATTACACAACCCTTGAGTTGTTTTGTTTTTCATTTACCCAACCTATACTCACTCAAAATTTTGCAAGGGTGGGTTGTAGCGAAGTAGTTGTAGTTCGCTACTGTAGCGAACTACAATTTTCAAGTAGCCAGTAGTTTTTGACTACTTTATTAAAACAGTAGCTGTAGTTATAGCGAACTACATTTTGCCTAAAAGTAGCCAAGAGTTGACTACTTTTCAAACAGCAAATCGCTATTCGCTACTTTTTAAAATTGTTAGCAACTTGATAGAATAGCATGATATTGAGACACGGTTTGCTTAAAATCAATACTCAATAGTCAATTTGCGTTCTTGAACACTGTAGTGCTTACAAAAATGTTGCTTTGTGTTTACTGTTGCCACTCGTAAGTCGATTTGTTATAGGTTACATTTCAGCCTGAGTTAGTAGACGCTCCAAATACAGTAGAACTAAGAAATATAGCGTAGCGAAATAGCGAAATAGTTCGCTACATTTTTTAAGCAGTAGCTGTAGTCAGTAGCGAACTACCTTTGTTCAAAAGTAGCAGTAGTTGTAGCGGACTACATATTTTTGAAGTAGCTGTAGTTATAGCGAACTACAAAAATTTTGTAGTCAACTCACCCTTGAAATTTTGTTTACCCTACCCTTTCCCCCCGTCATAAATAATGACCTCCCCCTAGTCATAAATAATGATCGCTCCCTTATTAACGATATCGCTTACTTGATATTCGCTTGCTTTCGCCAGTTGTACATTGGCGTCCTCGACATGTGAACCAGCACTTTCAACATGAGACTCGATATTATCTGAAATTAAAGAAAGAGGAATTGCATAGTTTGAACACAACACACTCTCATTGGTTCTTCATCAATCAGAACTTTCGTTCAATACAACATTTTGGGAGAGTGGAGTAACGCAGAACTCAGAAAAATGAAGAACACTACAGCAACACCGCGGAAAAACGTCTGCGCATGCACCAAATTATGAAAATATGGCGGGGAATTTGAATATCAATTTCTAAAACAAAAAAATGCTTATTAATTGGTCAAAAATTAGTAAAACAAACGAGAAAATATAGCAAATGTGTAGACTAGACATTAATTGAAAGCGTCCTGGCATTTAAAGTATGGAATGAAATATAATTCATGTAAAAAATTGTTGATTTTAACGGACACAACTTCGAAAATTTTTGCAAAATTATTCAAAACAAATATTCAAACTAAAAAGTTAAGAAAACTCTCGAAAAGTTAAGCTTCTTAACCCACTCAAATTGTAGAATAAATCCTAAAGTTTAATTATTGTGAACACGAAAATTTTTTATATTTGGCGACACAGTTTTTTTTAAAGAAATGTATCTCAAACGAAAATTCGGAAATTGTCGTTGCTTAGTTGATAAACAAAATGTTTCAA